GCTCTATTTGATGTGATGGTGTTCGGCACTTTGCTGAACTTTGTCCTATCCCCTCCAGTAACATTGGTTTATATTAAATGACCGAGATGATTATATATACGGAAACGTCTAAAACTTTGAGTAGTACGTAAATTGAATAAAATGTGGAATAACCAATTGCATAAAATTTCAGATATGAACAACAATACACATTTAATAACCGTATGAATCCTCAAGGTATACATAAGCAAAAAAAGATGAATAAACATACCTGAATCTCGGAACAAATCTAACAACAAAAATGTTATAAAACAGAGTTACGCGACGAATTAAACCGACGAGCAGTACGCAAGGACACCGAACGAGACACAAATGATAAAAAGCACTACAATAAACGTCACAAGAAATGTTACAATAACCTAAACAAAGAGATTTCACATCTTAGAATGACTGAAAATANAAACCACGCGCTCAGTTTACTTCATTTAAGTCTGTATCCAGGGCCGTGACGGCAACTGCCAGAATGTCAAGGCTCTTGCATTTGTGAGCTCCTTGGATCCCCTGGTGCTGCGACAATAGGAGGAATGAAATTCCTCTTCTGTTATTTTAACAAGCAATGTTCGTTCTTTCTTAGGAAAACTCAAGGAGGTAGTAGACATCACAGAGAAAAAGGAGTAAAAAAACCTGGGAATTATTATGCCTCCGGAATCGTGGCTACATGAAGAAATTCCTAGTGAAATTTTACAGGTGGATGGGTATAACTTGTAACGGCTTTACCTCCCCGCGAGTGTCAATAAACGAGGTGGAAGTATTGCAAGTTACGTCAGCGAAAACTGGAGTAAATCAACTGCTTTCATTTGCGAATACACAACGGTTAAAATCAGTTGTCATGTCATCGAACGTAAGCCCCTTTTTTTGAATGGGTTTCGTTCAATCCTTCTTGGAAACTTTCACCTCTTACCCACAATATCAGTTGCTGACATAAATAGCTTTCCTGACATTTTTCTACCTCCATAATATCAAAAGCAGGTGACCCTTTGTGTATATTTGTTAACGATTTCCACAGAAATGATGTAACGTTTTTCTCCACACTGGGTCTACAAAATTTGGTAATGTTTCCTACCAGACTAAATTCACAGCTTGGTTTCGTTTTCACAAACAGACCGCAATTTTTTAAAGCTCAGAAACGCGCTCTCCTGAGCATTTCAGACCATTGTATCTTAAAACTATGTCCCACTGTATACAGCAAAACCAACCGATACACATTATTAAGAAGGCGTAACAAGATAGTGAGTCAAAGAAACTGTTTATCAGAGAACCTAAAACGGCTAAGATCCACGATTGCCGCCACTGATTTTTCGGCTTTTCCCGATCAAAACCCTTCTGTCCTCCGTGAACATGATACGGACTACCTTAATTTATTTTTTAACCAGTGTTGTCCAATAGAAACCATCTTTATCCATAAAGACATATACTCATCACCGCTACTCAAGCAGTTACGCAGGCGGAAAGAAGAAATCTACAAAGAAGGACAAAAAGTTCATGTCAAGCGGCTAACAATTTTGATCAAAGCTAAAATAAGTCGGTTGAACAAACTGTACATCGACACTATCCTGGGAAACTCTAGTTATCGTGGCAAGTGGAGTTTTATCAACCGATTGTGTGGCAGTAGCCGTAAACACAAAAAGGAAACTGTCGATATTGAAAGACTGAATTCTGAGTTTAGTCCTGTTTCACGGTGCACTGCCCTACCAGACTTAGTCAGCTCTATGCCACACCAACTATCGAACCCGCCACAGTGCTGAAACAGCTACTAAAAACTAAGTTGAATAAATCATCGGGCCTTGATGAACTATCACCAGTAGTAATCAAAGCATGTGCGAATATCCTTTCAGTCCTTTGTCAAAAATATTCAACGACTGTCTCACAAGTGGAAAAATTCCTGTTATTTGGAGACTGGCCAAGATAACTCCCGTTCCAAAAACAAAACCTTGGAAATATCGTCCCATCGCCTGCATGTCAGTCTTGCTCAGATTATTTGAGAGACGCTTATTACCGTGGGTTGACACTGAGTCTGACGAAGGAGACATATCAATTTGCATATCGCTCCTCGCGGTCAACACTGTATGCCGTTGCATATCTCGTTCATTCAATAATCTCGGCACTAGATAGGAAAATTAAGACCGTCAGATTGATGTTCCTAGACTACAAAAACGCTTTCAGCAGTCGTGGTCGATCAGTATTGCTCAACCTGATTACTGAAAAGGGTGTAAATTTGAACCTTAGCAGACTGATCAGTGAGTATTTCACAGATAGAAAGCAGTTTACATGTTTCAACGGCAAAGAGTCCTCCACTCGCCTAGTTTCTTATGGTGTCCTGCGAGGTGCAATATTTTCCCCATATATCTTTTCTATGTATATCAAACAATTTCCCATTCCTCCTGCATTCATTGGCTGTAAATACGTTGATGACGTTTTTATAGGTTGCAAAGCATCCATCCCAGAAGAGGCTTTCGAAAAACAAAGCAAGCGAAATGACGTTATTGCCTATTTTAATTATTAGTATTACAGTACCAGTGTCCAAAATGAAATGAAGCAAATTACCAGTGGAACTGAATAGTCGTTTACGGATGTGGCCGGAATGGGAAGTAATTGCCAAGGATAAAGAAGAAAAATGTTTGTCCATATTGCTCACTTCTGAGTCCCGGGCTTGAACTAAACGACAGGTTTTGGTACTGCGACACAGACTGAATATGGCCAGTTTTGTCACACTTATGACAAAGAGTGTCACAAAATCGACATGTGAATCTGGAATGACGTTTGCCACAGGATGCACAATTTCCATAGGATTTTGCCGAATATGTCACATTGTGTGAGTTAGATTGTGTAAACGGTGTGAAACGTCCGCCTGTAGTATGAGCTTTCGTGGATTTAGTCCTGAGTGAATTAAACATGGCTGTAGGTTCAATGGTGGACGGCATGGATGAAGTAGCGGCGCGAATGTCCTGATATTGTCACAATAAGCCCGCACATCTTTAAACGTCGAATTGGATAGCTTCAGAAGTTCATTCTGCAAAACGGTCTTGTTAATGCCAGCGATCAGCCGATCTTTCAATTGCATGTCCAATAAGTCTCCAAAATCCAGGATAAATTCACGGATGCCCTGATTCGGACTGCGTACCATTGAGTGAAAGTCTGCTCGTTCTGAGGCTTCGAAGTTCGTTGGCATCACATGCTGTAAGAGGAGGGATTTTAAATCATCGTACGATACAGAAACAGGTGGCGAAGGATGAGCCAAGTTTTTGATTAATGTATAAGCATTTTTACAGGCAGCATTCAAAAAGAAAGCGGATTTATTTTCCTCATTGGGCTTTGAACGGGTCAACCGCCAAATCTCAAGACGTTCAAAATAATCCTCGATATCGCGTGCACTGCAGTCAAGATCAAGGGATTCTAGTGGATTACAAATCATTGTTCAGTAGACCGGAGGCAACGCCAAAGGTGGTATTGTGAATAGTATTCGAAATGGGATTCCAGAATTCGCGCAATACCAATCCCCGAAATAGAACAAATTCGAATAGAATAACACACGAACTTTATTGGAATCGTGTACTATGCATATTCAAAGCCTTTAAAGTGTACAAGGAATTTCGATTTCGGGTTCACACATCTGAATGAGACAATGGGATCAAGGTGGTTCTAGATAAATTTAGGGAATTGTGATGACCGCACCTCATCCAAACCGATCTGTATTTGGGCTACTGTTGGGGATGAATCAACATGCTCTGGCAGCTTGTTCAATCGACTAATGATTCTATACGAGAAAAAATTCTCCCTAACACGTTTAAGCGTCCTAGGTTTCTTCAGTTTGAGGTTATGCCCTATTAGTTACTAGGCGGTTGCTGATGTTTGTCAGAACCTGTCACTAGTATTTGCTATAAAAGCGATATATTCTAAAACGTCCGAGATGTTTGGTTAGGCCTAGGCCGTTATTTAAACAACGGCAACGGAAATCTGAAAGTGGATTTGATCAATGCAGGGAATGCGTGCGATACAGAGCTCACCGTGGGGAATTGTACCGGTGCGTTCTTTTCGAGCTCATTAAATCACGATAGTAGTTAAAGCAAAATTTAATTCTGGACGTGTCCAAGTTGCTACATCTAGTGAAGAAAAGTTCTCTAGATGATTGATAACGCTAAATAATGTTGATTAATGCTAAATTTCGACGGTATACTTGATTGTGCCCGCTAGAGAACGGTCCTTATGTTAGAGGGAAATGATTGACGGTAGTCTAAGTTCTATAACTAATCTACCTGGTCGGTAAACTAAGTCAATACCTGATATCTGAACCTTGGTGGTTATGATAAGTGTATCATGGTTATGTAACAATGTCACACAGGACTGGTTGGAAACTGAACCAATCCCTATGCTAGTCTTCAGCGCAGGGTGAAAGTGCTTTTGGTCCGTGATTTGATGAGCAAGTCCAGCTTGAATGGATCTATCAGGAAACTTAGAGGAAAGCAAGAGGTAAGAAAAGAAAACTGCCGTTGCCAAACTGTCGACTTAAAAACCGCTCTTGTTGAAGAGCTGTTTTCCAGGGTGAAAAGAGGCGAGGTAGTATTGGACAACCTTTTCATTTGTTTGAATACTTCGATGAGATCACCCCTGAGGCGTCTACGATGGAGGAGAAAAGTCCCAAAGTCCTTAGCCTTTCTTCATATGGAATATCCCTCAAGTCTGCAGTGGTCCCTGTGAACATTCACTGGACATTCTCCAAAAGTTACTGATCTCTTTTTAGGGATGGAGCCTAGGATTCTACGGCATACTGAAGGTGCGGCCTTACTAATGCCTTGTATAGTGGTATAAAAACTTGGGGAGCTCTAGGGTCTATTGTCCTGCGCAGTCGGTAGATAGCCCTTTTTTCTTTGCTTTCTGCAATCACATTCGGCAGATGACTTAAATGATTCATGAATGTTCAAACCCAAGTCCCTTATTTACCTGACTCTTTCTATGGTCTGGGGGTTTGCCTGGTTGATAGTTCTGGGTGCAGGTGATCCCCATTTTGCAGCTACTTGTTCTTTCCTATANCCCCAGGTTTCAGACCACTGCTAGAGAGTATTTAGGTATGTTCCGTAACTCGAGCAGAGCCATTAGTGGGTCGCTACCATCCGCACCGCTTTTTTTTTATTAGCTTCTTTGCTTGTTTGACTGCGTTTTCTGCTTTGCCAGTGGACCGACTATGATAGGGGCTAGTAACGTGGTGCTCAAAACGCCATTGTTCAATGAATTTCTGGAATTCTGTACTACAAAATTGAGGGC